CTGCTGCTGCTGCTGCGGGTGCTGCTGCTGCTGCTCTGAGCACACAGCGTCTGGCCGCGAGAAGTTTCATACTTGGCCTGTAGCGGCGGAATGCTGCTGCTGTTGCTGCTTCTGCTGCTGCTGCTGCTTCTGCTGCTGCTGCTTCTGCTGCTGCTGTTTCCGCTGCTGCAGATGTAACAAGCCTAGGGGAAGACACCTAGTTGCCCTTGTTGCTGCTGCCCGCGATGTTGCTGCTGTTGCTGCTGCTGTTGCTGCGCTTCTCCCTGCAAAGCTTCTAAAGTTGCCGATTAGCTCACAACAGCAGCAGCAGCAGCAGCAGCAGCAGCAGCAGCAGCAGCAGCAGCAGCACTTTGGTTTGCTGCTGCTGCGTGTCTCTTAGGGGAGAGTCTAGTTCTTCTGCGAAGGCTCTTGCTGTTGCACTTGCTGCTCACCCTGCTCCGAGCAGGCGACTTGACGGAGCAGCAGCAGCAGCAGCAGCAGCAGCAGCAGCAAAAGCAGCAGCAGCAAACGCAGCAATGCGACAAAGTCCTGCTGCTCACGACTCCACAATAAGGGTAAAAGGAAAGCTGCTGCTGCTGCTCTTGCTGCTGCTGCTACGAGTGCCTCTGCTTCTGCTGCCCTTGCTGCAGCAGCTGCTGCTGCAACTGCTGCTGCTGCTCTTGCTGCTGCTGCAGACCCTGCTGCTGCTGCTGCTGCTGCTGCGTCTGCGCTGCAGGGGGCCCTCAGAAAGCTCAAGAACAGCCCCGACTCCATCACGCTGCTGCTGAAGTGGGACTTCAGCTGCCTTGCTGCTCAGCGGCAGCAGCGGGAGCAGCAGCAGCAGCAGCACGAGCAGCAGCAGCAGCAGCAGCCAGTTGAGGTGTATCTGCAGCTCGACCGCGATGTCACGCGTGCTGCTGCTGCTGCTGCTGCTGAAGCAGGAAAGGGCCAAGTGCTTTTTACCCGAGGCGTTTTTCTAAGGGACAAGGCACAGCAGCAGCAGCAGCAGCAGCAGAAGCAGCCGCAGCAGAAGCAGCAGCAGCAGCAGCAGCAGCAGCAGCAGGTGCGTTTTGCTGCTGCTCAGGAGTCGGGGCTAGAGAGCGAAGAAGAGCTGCTGCAGCTGCTGAAGGAGACAAACAGCAGCAGCTGTCTCTCCCAAGTGTCTCTGGACATGAAGGGGACACTGACGGGGTCCGTTCCTGCTGCTGCTGCTGCTGCGCGCAGCAGCAGCAGCAGCAGCAGCAGCAGCCACCGCGCAGCAGCAGCAGCAGCAGATGTTGAAGACCCCTACTTCCCGCTGCAGTGGCATCTGCAAGCAGCAGAAGGTCTTTACAACTTGGGAGCTGACAAAGCCTGGCAGCAAATGCAAAGTGAGCAAAAGGAGACACTTGCTGCTGCTGCTGCTGCTGCGAGGAGACAATGGGTTTGCTGCTGCTGCTGCTGCTGCGAGGAGGCAATGAGTTTGCTGCTGCTGCTGCTGCTGCGAGGATGCTGCTGCTGGAGAAATAAGTGTTTTGTAGGGAGACTCAGTAGTAGGGGAGTTTAGCTGCAGAGACACCAGAAAGAGACGGAAACGAGGCCGCAGCAGCAGCAGCAATTGCTGCTGCTGCTGCTGCTGCTGCAGCAGCAGCAGCAGCTCAGGTGGGCCCTAGGGGCCGCTGCAACAGCTTTTTCGCTTCGCCCAACTGCCCGTGATGCTGCGTCTTTCGCTGTTGCTGCTGCTGCCTTTGCTGCTGCTGCTGCTGCTGCTGCTGCTGCTGCTGCTGCTGCTGCAGGCGCGCAGCAGCAGCAGCAGCAGCAAGTGGTGGTGGCGCTGCTGGACACTGGCTGCGGCCCCCACGAAGACATAAATAATATTTTGTGGATTAACAGCAAAGAGGACTGCAGCGACGGAGTGGACCACGACAGCAACGGCTACGTGAACGACTGCAAGGGCTGGGTAAACCCTAAACCCTAAACCCTAAACCCTAAACCCTAAACCCTAGGCCCTCGGCTTCGCGCCCCCAGGAACAGAGGCCCCCGCCGACGGGCAGGGAGGCTGCAGGCAAACTGCACGCTGCAAAAGTTTCAAGCTGCGAGCCCGCAGAAAGGGTTTAGGGTTTAGGGTTTAGGGTTTAGGGTTTAGGGTTTGGGGTTTAGGGTTTAGGGTTTGGGGTTCAGGACTTTGTGGAAGACACAAACGACATCACGGACACTTATGGGCACGGCACGGCGGTGGCTGCTCTTATGGCTGCGAGCTTTGACAAAAAGGGGGGCAGAGGTAAACCCTAAACCCTAAACCCTAAACCCTAAACCCTAAACCCTAAACCCTAAACCCTAAACCCTTGGCCGCAAGCGGCGGTTTTCGCGGTCTTTAAAAGCTGCCCTTTCTCTTTGGATGGTGCCCCGCTTCGTGAGGCTTGGCCCGAGGCGCTAACCCCCAAACCCCAAACCCTAAACCCTAAACCCTAAACCCTAAACCCTAAACCCTAGTTTGGTGTTTGCAGGCGTTTCGCCCACTGGCCGCGTGATGTGTCTGAGG